ATCCCCCTGTGCCCCATCCCCCTGTGCCCCATCCCCTTGTGCCCAAATCCCCCTGTGCCCCATCCCCTTGTGCTCGAATCCCCCTGTGCCCCATCCCCCTGTGTTTCTGTGTGCTGGTTGTGTTTCCTTCTTGAGGGCTTTTTCTTTGGGTAAAGAAGCTGGGAAGGAAATCAACCTTGTTCTCAAGTGCCTTGTGAGTTGTTTTGCATTTTGGATTTGTGCTGCGGTCCAAGCTGCGGTGCCGAGGCTAGGGATGAACCTTTCTCAAGGGCATCCTAGGCAGTACATCTTGCTGTAATAATGAGATAGAAAAAGTTGAAGGAAGTCAGAATATTTTGGTTTTATAGCACCCTGGTGCAGCACTGGCTGCTTTTTCCTGTGTTGTGTTAGATGGATGTCAGAAAACAAATTCGATTTTTTTTTCTGTTTTTGGCAAATGAAATGCCCCATCCCTGTGTTCATAACACAACAGAGGGGAGCTCAGGAATGAGAATAAATTCTTGGATTCAGTGCTGGGTGAAAGCACTGCCCATGGTTTTGTGATTGCCTTTCCCACAGAACCACAGCCCAAAGTGAGGCCTGGTTTTGCCTCTGATGAACGGAGATTTTTCCACCCTGCTCCAACTCCTCAGCTTCAGGTTTTCCATGATAAAAATTACATTTCTATGATATTATATTCCATATGACATTACATTCTGTATATATCCATGGTAAAAAAAACAAGGAAAGAATATTTTCATTACGTGCCAGCTGAAGGCTTAGGGGGTGCTTGTGAAGGGTTCAGCGACCCTTGTTGCGGAGAGCTGTGAATGCAAATGAGCTTTATTAGTGTTACATCTTTAAATCTAATTGAATTAGATCATCCTGGGTCTTTTTTGCAGCATTTTCGTGGCAGGAAGAACCGCTGCTACAAGCTGGCAGTGAGGAGCGTCCGCAGGGCTTTCGTGAGGTCCACCAAGGCCAGGAGGGAGAAGAAAAGATTCCTCAGAGCGGTAAAGAGCAAAATGTTGGGTGGAAACATCCAAATGGGAGCCAGGCAGAAGAGAAACAATTGCTTTTATTAATCTGAGGGGTTTAAAAACAGCCCCTCAGAGTTTCTAAGTGAAAAGTAGGAGTTGAAAGCAGCATTTTCTTGTGGGTCCCTTCCAGCTCAGGATATTCCATGAAAATGTTGTATTTCATAAGTGTGAGCAAACCGGCGTGGCAAAGGGTTTATTTTAAAGTATTTTATCATGCAATATATTGATTTTTTTACACCTTCAGCTCTGGATCACAAGGATTGAAGCAGCTTCCCTTGAACATGGTTTGAAGTACCCAGCCTTCATAAGCAACCTGGTCAAGGTAAGGATGTGGTTTGGAGGAGAATTATTTACTAATTAGTGATGTGTGATTAAAGTAATGAGTGATGAAAGGCCTTCCGCTTGTGAAAGCTGTTTCATCCATTTCAGGAACTAAGTCGTGCCCTAAACTATTTCTCTTCCCTATGTGGATTATTCTCTTTTATCCTGGTGAACATTATAGCTCTATCTCACGTTCTGTCCCCAAAACTTAGGAATGAGACTTTTAAAGTGTGTTGGGGTTTTTTTGCCATTCAGTGACAGCTGCTTTTCCTTTTACTTGAAGAGATTTAAAAATACAAAGCTTGGATTAGCAAAAAACCGAAAAAAAACCTAAGAAATCCTTATTCTTTTCACTATAACTGTGATTTGGTAAGCGTGGAGAATGCAGAAACTTGGTGCTGGTGTCCCTTGTTTTTAAAACATGCTGGAAATTTGTTTCAATTTGGTGATTCTGTTTTAATTTATTTGAGCTGAAACAGATGCCATGGATTCACCTGGAACACGTGGCCTTGAGCAAAATCGGGGATTTTTCTTCAGCTCTTGGTTTCTACCAGAAAAACTTTAGAGAAAGGCAGGAAATAATTTTTACATGGTGGGTTAATGACACATCCATGGCCAGGGAGTGTCTGACAGTCTTTAACAGCTCCAAACTGCACAGGGTAGAAAAAAGCTAATCTGCTTTAAGACCTCAGGTCTTAAGCCTTAAGAGTGTTTAATCATACTTAATGAAGAGTGTTTATATAAACAGTAAAGAGCGTTAATTATATTTAATAAAGTGTTCATTATATTTAATAAAATAAATTTAATTTTATGTAATGATAAAATTTTCTTATATTTAGTAAAACCTATTTAATTTAAATATATTTAAAACTAAGAGTTGTGGTGTTGTTCCTAAAAATCACAGTCCTTAACCAACAATTTTTTTCTTGCCTTTAGTCCCAGGTGGAGCTGAACAGAAAAGTTCTGGCTGACTTGGCAATTTATGAGCCAAAGACATTCAAGTCCCTGGCAGCTTTAGCCCAGAGGAGGAGACAGGAAGGGTTCCTGGCTGCCCTGGGAGATGGAAAAGAACCAGAGGGAATATTTTCACGTATTGTGCACCACCACTATTGATATCAGAGTCTGTGTACATGTTTTAGAAGCAGGGATTTGATTGTGAAACAAACCTGTCGTGGGACTGCTGCTGAAACAGAAAATGTGGAACAAATCCTCTGAGGATCGTGTGGGTGTGAAGCTTCTCCCTGAATGCTTTTTCCCTGTGTTGTTGTCACTGAAACCTGTTAAATTAAAAGCACACTTCAAGGTTAGCGGTCAGGCCATACAGTGATTTAATAAAGGTTTTTTTTTTTGGTAACTGCCCTTAGGAAAAAAACCTAATTTGTGTGGTGAATTCTGGCACTGAATGGGATAACGCAGCTGGGATGGGGGGAAATGTTGACCCTCACAGGTGGAGCCTGGGTGTTAAGGACACACATAGTTCGTACTTTTAAGGATTTAATAAAGACATTTCTATTGAAAACTCCTATGGGGAAACAATTTGTGTTAATTTTGGCACTTCATTGGGAAAATACAGCCAGGGGATGGAGGAAGGGCAGGATGTCGACTCTCACACGTGGCCCCTGTGTTAAGGACACACATAAAAACTTAATAAAGGTAATTTTTTTGATAATTGCTGTGGAGAAACACTTTTTGTGGCGAGTTCTGGCGCTGCACAGCAAAAACCAAGTCGAGTGTGAGGAAGATGTCAGCCCTCAGGCGTGAGCCCCCACAGCCTTTAGGTGAAGGACAAACAGCCTGTTCTGTTAAGGACATAATACCAAACATATTTTTGTTGGTAACTGCTACAGGGCAACAATTTGTGTGGTGAAATTCTAGAGCTGCAAGGGGAAAACCCAGCCGGGGTGGGGAGCGACATGTCGGCCCTCACACATGAACCTCGGCCGGCCGCAAGTTAAGGACACGCATAGTCTGGTTTTTTACACACTTAACAAAGATATTTAATTCGGTGAGAGGATAGTCTGGTTTTTTAAGGAGTAAACAAAGATATTTCACTCGGTGAGCACGTAGTGTGGTTTTTTAGGGAGTTAACAAAGATGTTTAATGCGGTGAGTGCATAGTCTGGTTTTTTAGGGAGTAAACAAAGGTATTTCACTCAGTGAGCGCGCAGTGTGGTTTTTTAGGGAGTTAACAAAGATATTTAACTCGGTGAGTGCATAGTCTGGTTTTTTAGGGAGTAAACACATATTTAACTCGG